CTTTTACAATGAAGCCTTTTAAAAAAATGTTCTGAATCAGTATGGGTTAACCTTGATATTTAAAAAAAAAAATCTTAATAACTTCATTTTTCTTACTTTCTTTGAATACGATTGCATTGCAAAGTGTAGACATTGTAAATTGTTTGATTCAGGAAATGTTATCTACAGATGACCAGCTTTCAGTATGACTAAGAAAGATTATTGGACTTGAGTACGACACAGAACATTTCTTCAAACTTATGGGTCATAAATAAAGGTATTATTTTATATTCAAGACCTAATTTATGACTTATTTGCTCAGTTTCCTGATATCATAATGCTGTTTCACACATCTGAAGATCAATTTGATAGAATGAAATCGTTCTATGATTTTTTAAAAAAATTAAGGACCAACACTGGCAATATCATATTGTTCTATTTCTTTGCTCAGCTGAAATGACAAGATATTAGCAGCCCAGTATATCAAAGGATTAAATACAATCATTGTCATATCAAGCATGTAATCAATCTTGGCTTCTTTCAAGAAGTAGCATAAATAATGACCATTTAAGAAACTGAAATGCTCACTTTCAATATTAAAGAAACTTTTACAATGAAGCCTTTTAAAAAAATGTTCTGAATCAGTATGGGTTAACCTTGATATTTTTAAAAAAAATCTTAATGGAATAAATAGTAGAATGAATAGTATGACAATACTGAGTCCCAAATTCAAGGAGGAAAAGGTGATGTTGAACATGCACACCTGTCATTCCTGTCTGCAACTCTTTAAAGGAGCAAATCTTTTCCAGGAAAAGAAACATTTGAATTTAAAGAGGTATTGACAAGCGATGTCTAGCTAACACTCACTCCAAATTACCTTTTTCTCTTCAAATTCAGATTTTTGCACACCCCTAAGGAGTAGCATTTTTTTTCAGTTGTGGATTGCATGACTGCTTATGTATCTAGGGGGAGATGTACTCTAAATATAACCAAAAAAGTACCTTGCTTTCCTCTATAATTCTATGTTCCCTAGGAAACCTTTGTAGGGGTTACAAGATACAACAAGGAAGGAAGGTTTGCCTTCTTAAGGTTCTTCACTTGGACATGATCACCTCCCATGCCATGCTTCATGGCAAGTCACCCTGTCATATTTATTATCAGAAGATGTAATGATGGATACCACCTTGAACAGGTGCTTAGTCAAATCAATAGAGGAAAAGACTACTAGCCATGGTGATTATAGTGAAGCTCCTATAAAGAAAATAGACCAGATGATGATGATGATGATTTTGCTTGGCAAATAGAATATACATTGTCCAATAAATGGAGATGTAGTAGTGTCCAATGATCATCTGGGAGTATAATATCTTCACCTAGAATGCTGGTGTGTTAGGAGATCTAGTATGAGGCCAATCGGATGCAGAAAGGCTTCTTTGTTACTAACGTTGGTGTACTGGAACCATATGACTTTTAAAATCTATGAAACCTGACCTAAAGAACAACAAAAGGGTGCATAGCGTATAGGACACCCAATTTTATTTCAGCAGATCTTGCCTGGGGATCTTTTAAACACCCAATTTGTTTAATGAATCTAAAGGATGGCTTCTATATTAGGAAATCTTACCTGTGGAATCTTATAAATGCTCAAAACGTTGGCCATGTATTGACAGATGTGAGAGTTAGGTCCTGCAATTACAGAAATGGTATTGTCCTGGAGATCACATTTGTAATTTGGGATGAATCTGTCCTTAGTGGAGAGAAGCTCCATTGAAGCAAGGTAAGTCCATCTTGCCATGAAATAGCTATTGAAGACATGGACGCCTAGGGTGACATTAGGTAAGAGAGAAGACATTTCATTGATTTCGTTGACAGTGAAAGCCAAGGACAGGATGTGCTGGTAATTCTGCAGGAAGACCCTGCAAGAAGAATTAGATCTTAGCCACAGTACATCTGATTTAAAATATGAAATTTTCTGTATTCAAACATACATGCTAGCAACATTGCACAAACATTGATTATTTAGTCTCAGTGCAGGGATTTGTGAAAAGGCACTCATAAGACTCAAGTGGAAAATCCTTATTAAGAAGTAATGTCTCACTGAAACAAACATGAATAAAAGTCATCTTTGCTTCTGTTCACACAGATTATAGTGCTGTGAACTATCACTGCAGAGATTCATTAAAAGGACACATATTAAAATAAGTAGCACTGAATATATATTACTAAAAATAATTGCTATCTGTAGCAGTATAACAAGGTGGCACAGGGAACATTTCAACAGTCTGGATGCAGAGAGAACAAAATGTTTATAATCAGCTCCAGCAAATCTTTTCACACTAACCAGTTCAACCTCCAGGGATTGTTTAAAAAAACAACACCACAAAGTTTGTTGTGTTTTTATTATTATTATAACATTATTATATTATTATGTTATATAAAATTATTATAAAATTATAAAATTATTGTGCTGGCAGTCATATTGCAGATAATGCAGCTTTTCCTCTGAAC